TCCTGTCTTACTCTTAATGGACGAAATATTCCATTTCTAATAGTGTAAAATATCTAGGTGTAATCTTCGACAAGTGAGTTACATGGAGATTACACATAGAAATTACCGAGGCCAAGGCCTTCAGAACATTCATTAGAGTATATTCCCTATTCAAAAGTGAGCGATTGAGCGCTATCATTAAATTGAACCTTCACGAAGCTCTTATTAGATCCGTAATTACTTATGCTAGTACCGTCTGGGAATCTGCGGCAGACATCCATCTAGTGAAATTGCAGCGCCTGCAAAACAAGGTTCTCCACACCACTGGCAATTTTCCAAGGCGCACAACGGTCCGAGAATAGCACACGGCAATGAAAATCCCATACGTATATGATTACATAACAAAATTATGCAGGTAACAAACAGAATTCTTACAAAATCGTGAGAATTAGAATGTTCGCAAAATCGAAGAAGGTGAAGCACGCCACAGAAAAATACGAGTATAACAGGCTTAAACTTGGCGGCGGTCAGGCATACATCCGTTCAAGTGACTAGATTGCCGTGGTAGCGATTACTACGTATTAGAAAAGAGGCATAATCAGCTGTACAAATCCTGGACTGATAGAGGCCTTGTAATTATTGTACAGAGAAATAGTAATTAAGACTGTACTGCCGTCACAGGGGGGGGCTCGGAAGACGGTTAAATTACTTCCACGGCCGTTGCTTCATTGGCTAGATGCGCGCAGTTCACAGGGCTTGTCAGGCGGGCGCATGTGCGAAATACGGTAAGGGAGGATATCACATCAACAGAAATCCAATTCTCACCCTATGCTACCCTATATTGGTTATAGACAACCAATATACAGCTATAATCATTATGGAGAACCTACTGGTTTCGGATTCCATATTATACTTTTCTAGACTATTCTCTGGCCCTCATCTTTGCCTTTCTTTCACCCAGTTTCTGGTCGCCAGTCTCTTCTTTTCCTTATTCTACTCATCCATCTATCTCCACTAAACCTCTCTCATCCCCTGCTTATATATATATATATCTTTACACATCCCTGCAGCGATCTTCCCTGCATCTAGACACACCCTTTGCAGTCCCTATATTACACATGTCTACCTCTACATCCCTCCGATGAGTCACTCTTACGCCCTGTACGCTTGTCGTAACCTTCCTAACTCATGTCCCATTAGAAGGTTTACACTTTAATAATATCACAATTAAATAGCATGGCGATAAGAGTAGTTCCACTTACTTAGCGTTGAGACTGCAGACGGAAGGCGTTGCGCGGCATCCATTCAGTCGATGCTTCCCCCTGCATAGCCTTCGGCTACAAGTGCCCAAATTTACTGTTTGAATTGTCCCGATACTAATTTACTCCACGGGTTATTTACTTTTATTTTTGCTAACTCATTACTTTTCCTGAGGGTGCAAGTCCGCCTACAATGACGTTTTGTTCCAAGGTCGCTGTCTCTCGTTGGTTGGCATCCTTAGGAGTGGACACGCCCCCTTACGGCTAGTCCTGTTGGCTAAGCACTTTTACCTCCAAACTTTCCCCCATCACTCAAGTGTAGATTTTGTAGAGCTAGCATTTCGGTATACCTTCAACGTCATTATGCTGACAGGACATTTCCGCGTCACGGGCCGTCTAGCTCGATACGTAGAAATTATTTGAAGTTTCTTAACCCTTCTCTACATTGTCTTTCATACGTCTTACTAGTATTTCCCAAAATACTTGTTCTATTCTAGGCAACATTTTCGCCTAAAATAAAAAAAGAAATTAAATACTCTTTTAACATGTTACCGGGGGTCAGTCTTCAGGGCACAACAAGGACTAGAATTAAATTGTAAATGTATGTCAATACTGACAATGGACTGATTAAGACTGACAAATGACAGACCCGATCTCTCGTCAGAGATGGCGTCCCAAATGGAAAGAACAGAAACTTTCACAAAGAAGAAAGCATCTGGTCATGAGCCCCAGCTGTGGCTCGACACAAAGACAGATAGCCTGAATGACCGTCAGTTGCAACATGATTTTGACTTGACTTGACGCAATCGTGAGTGACAACATCAGCCAGTCAGCCGTCACGCCTAGTCCAGAGCGATCGGTCTTCGGAGTCATCGGCACTTCACTGCGTCAGGGATGGCTGCCTCGGCTCTCCGGCGGTCATGCCCGACTCACTGGGCAACGGGCGCAACTGCAGCCACTCCAGCGACCGCGCTCCACGACCAGACGTCTTCCAGCAACCATGCTCTGCGACCAGACAACTCCCGGCAACTTCCGCACTGCGACCAGACAACTAACTCAACTGCCGCAACATTAGCCAACACACCGTAGCCAACATCTACCGTATTTACGCATGTATAGGCCGCGTGCGTGTATAGGCCGCAGCACAATTTCCAGACAGAAATTATAGAAAAAATAATTTTCTTGGAATATTATTTCAGGAGTAGAAATTATTTCGAAATTTGACAACGTTTAACGTTCCTGAGTTCGCAACTAGCGAAAATAACGGTACCGCTCGGAACAAAGGCATTGCGGGGGAGAGTTATAACCTTTTCGCCTTTACTTGACTTGCCTGGTTAGTTCTGAGTGAAACATGGGTCGAGTAAGAGCAGGTTATACGTCTAAATTTAAACTTCAAGTGGTGCGTTACGCACAAGAACACGGAAATCGAGCAGCAGGGAGAAAATTCGACGTTGACGAAAAAAATGTGCGAAGATGGATACTAACGAAAGATGCCCTTGAAAAAACGTCACAAAATCGACAATCTTTCCGCGGAAAGAAAGCTAAATTTCCAGAACTTGAAAATAAACTTTTGCGATACGTGCGTAATACACGGGCGGATGTATTTTCAGTGTCTGTGGAAATGTTTCAATTTGAAGGCCTCAAAGTAGCGGACAGAATGAAAATTCCTCGTATTGAATTTAAGGGAAGTTTTGGATGGGCGAGGCGCTTTATGGCCCGACATGATCTTGTAATTCGGCGACGGACGTCAATAGCGCAGCGCCTTCCCGACACATACCAGGAGAAACTGCTTGCATTTCAAAAACATGTCCTGAAATTAAGAAAGACGCACAACTACACCATGGGAGCTATTGGAAATGTTGATGAAACTCCTGTGTTCTTTGAAATGCCGGGTGAAAGTACAGTGAACAAAGCAGGCGAAAAAAAAATGCATGTGCGGACTGCAGGAGCAGAAAAGCAGCGGTGTACCGTAATGCTTGGTATCACTGCTGATGGAAACAAACTACCACCATTTGTAATCTTCAAACGCAAAATATTGCCGACAAAGCTTCCACCGGGAATTTTCGTGAGAGTTCAAGAAAAAGGATGGATGACAGAAGAGCTCTATCTGGATTGGTTGAAATCAGTGTGGTTTCGGCGCCCAGGCGCACTTTTACGTCAGCGGTCAATGTTAGTGGTTGACAGTTTTCGAAGCCATTTAACTGAAAATGTGAAAGTGAAGATGAGGCAGGAGAAAAGTGATATGGTTGTGATACCAGGGGGGATGACTGGCATGTTACAACCACTTGACGTGTCAATAAACCGTCCTTTCAAGTCTCATTTGCAGCGCTTTTACCGGGACTGGAGATGCGGTTCCACGGAGATGACGCTGACTGGACGACTGAAGAAACCTTCATTAAGTCAAATGTGTGAGTGGATTGTGGCTGCATGGAACACCATACCAGAAGAAGTTGTTTCCAAAAGTTTTAAAGTCCCATCCATTTCCAACGCAATGGACGGGACTGAAGATGACGCTGTATGGCTGACATCACCTGACAGCGACACTTCGAGCGAGAGCGACATCGACAGTAACGAGTCATGTGATGAACAGTAATATGGTTCAATTACCGTGGACCAACTTCAGAAAGTGTCGCATAATTTATTCATGCGATGCGAAGCATGTTTGCAAGCAGAAGAGGGTCACTTTCAGCACCTGTTATAAAGCACGGTAAGTTTGTGTTATCTTTTTACAGTATTCTTATAAATGTGTGCATGTACAGAAATTGATGTAAGGGTATCAGCGACACGACTGCACTCTTGCTAGCGGGGAGGGGCACAGTAGTCACGGATAAAGGTTCCATCCGCTCTACGCTGCTGCCCCGGTTTCCTCGATCTTTGAACACCCTGTATTACTAATTATGAATATCATTTTTTTAAATGAAGTGTGATTTCGAATATAAGCCGCACCCCAGTTTTCCTCTTGAATTTTTGGCAAAAAATGTGCGGCCTATACATGCGTAAATACGGTATTTCTACCGTCGCACGCAGCCCTACGTCACCAGCCAGACAGACCAGCCGAACGGCCGTGAAACTATCTACCAAGTGGAACAAACGGCCCTGTTCAGGTCCCACAAACTTTCAGAAGTGGTTGTCTGTTGCAGTATCGAAAAATCCCAACACAGGGTTCAGTGTGTGTAGTACTTTTTGGATATTTTATTTACTTATTTTATTTTTGGTATATTATTATGGGTGTATTCCTTCTAATAATGTATTTAACTATTTTAATATTTTTTGTTATTCTGTTTTATTATTATTATTGGTGTATTCCTTCTCATAATTTATTTACGTATTTTATTATTTTCGTATCATTATTATTCTGTTTTATTATCATTGATGTATTCCTTCTCTTCTATTTGCTCCATATTACTCTGTCCAGTACTGAAATGGTGAACATGAATCTAAGATTTCCAATAATCATTGCATTTTCTTAAGATATGTTATTAATTTTGCCAAATAATCCTGTCCAGTGCTGTAATGAAAGATGAATATCAGATTTCTAGTAATCCTTAAGGTATGTTATTATATTTGCCATTTACTCTTGTCCAGTACTGATTTCCAATATTCTGTATGATCTGTTACTTTTCCCATAGGGTGTTATGGTAGCATCCTATTTTATGGATCGTGCTATCGGGGCTGCTGGTCTATTTTATTTAGTTAGGGAATCTGCGTAGAGATGACAGAAGCAATGTATTCGTGACCGCACCGCGGCCATAGTGCCCACCAATAACGAAGTGTTCCTCTGGGGTGGTTATATGCAGTTATATGTATCCGGCCAAAGTGTATTGTGTTATGTATGTTGCTTACTGATTGTCAGAAGTGGTGCTGCTACGTTTTGGAGTGTGATTACCATTCTGTGCATAGATGAATTTAAAAGAACAGTGTTTTAAAGTAATATTCATAGGCAATGTAGCTTCGGTGCAACGTAATTGTTTTGATATATTAAATATTAATATAAAATAAAACCTTTAGAGCCTGGTAAGTCGCTATTGATTTTGGTTTTGACTTTCATGTTGACAGAACATCTGTTATCGGGACTGATGATCGTATTACGATATTGTTAGCATGTAGTTTTAGTCAGCACTATGAGCGTGAGTTGTACAGTTTGGTCTATAAATCCATTTGCATAACTTGAAGCGCAACAACAGATTCCTTATTCAGTACAGAAAGGTTCGAGGGTCAAAATATCTAATAAAACATGTAATTATTATTATTGTTTGCATCCTGTTGTGTGCTGTGATTTGTGATACTCTGACCGTCAACACAACAAATATTTCAAAATAAACAATCGAGTTGTTTACATTGCTTTTTATGTCACCACAACATCCGACAAATACCAGAATTTTACGTTGTAACGAGGAAATAATTTTTAAAAATTTTAAATATTTACTTAATTTTAGTAATAATTACATTCATAATGATTATAATGAATTAAGTCTAATATGGTTCTATATTAGGATATTTCAATAACATGAGACATATTTAAGTAAATTGCCAGAGAATGGCCCAAAATATGGACCAAAACGTGTAACAGTTATTAAATGAAACCAATGTAAACAACTTGATTGCTTACTTTGAAATATTTGTTATGTTGAGGGCCAGAGTATCACACATTAAACATGTAAACTTTCATGACCTGTCATATGGCACTGCACTGCATTTCTGTGCAGTGGGGCTGTAATGTGTACTGCAGTAGGTGAGGTTTATAGATGCTTATAGTTAATATTAGCAGCAGTACATTATTTGAAATGACTTGATTGCTTTGAGAAATTATCACCTTTAGTATTATATTAATGCACATAAAATTCTTATAATATGTCATCTGAGTAATATTGTAGTTGCACACACTGCCACTAAGAAGAACTGAATATGTCCCGTGATATATGATTTTGAAATTAAGTGAGATGTGGGGACATAAGACCTAATGCCATTCCTATTAAGTGACCCAGCATTGAGTACCTGTTTGGCAACTTTATTCTAACACATAGTTACTGTTAGACATGGAATGCATTTTCAAGTTCCTTGTCCTAGTCAAGAGTACATTTTACTAAATACATCACCTTAACTTGACAGTACTTGGGAAATAAGATTTGCAGTTTTTACACTTGGATATATGTTTTCTAGTTTTAACAGATTTGGGGGAATCATATATTTTCCCATGTCCTCCTAAAAACTTAAAGATTGAAGAAAACTATAATAAGATGAGAAATGTATGTAGAATTTTAGTTTTAATTACAAGAGAAGACACAATTTGGGAGTCCTCAACATAGATGAGAAAATAATACTAAAATAGATCTTTGGGTGGTAGAATGGTAGTAAATTGCATTTCTTGCACATTATGGTTTGGGTTATTGGGGTAATATGCACTACAAATTTAAATTCGTCAGAGATCCACACATCTAAATTCTATCTTAAATTGTAGCAGAACATTCATCGAGGGAAGAAATGTATGGCCATTGAATTTTGATCAGATAAGAAAAAGGCAAATTATTTAAGGTAAATAGGATTTCATATCAATCCAAATTTGGGCATATAACCTTAATTACTTTAATGTAAGTGAAACGAAATAGATTTTTTGGGAACCGATGAAATTAGTGCATCAATCACCAAATTAAGTCGAGTATGTCATTCGGATTCTTTCACTCGGGCAAGATGGAGGTCAGATTTTACATTTAGTTGTATGAGTGCTTCACAAGTAAATTGAAAATAGGAGACTGGGGTACATTGTTAGCATCCTTTTCAAAATTCTGTGCTTGGTGTTAGCAGAAGTGATAACTTTTAGGGGGGTATTATGAGGACCAATGCTACTTTTAGATTTAATTAGCAGTGGTTGAGGTCTCTTAAGCTAAATTTGCTGGGTTTTGTTTATAAAGAGTAACACAAGTTTATAATGTCCTCTTGTCTTCCAGATCAGCCATGTAGGAGAACATCCTTCATTCAAGTACTTAAAATTGAGTAGAGACACCTTTATTCACATATGTTTGGTCTAAACACACTGTAAATTTCAGTGATGAGTTCAGATGTGTCAAGTGTCATTCAACTTTAAATTCTAAATCCTCAAGTTAGTAGTACCTCAGGGCGCGCCATAGCTCAAGCGGTAAGTCGCTGGCTTCCCACTGCGGCGGCCCGGGTTCGATCCCAGGTCTGGTCAAGTGGGATTTGTGGCAGACAAAGTGGCACTGGTGCAGGTTTTCTTTGAGTACTTCAGTTTCCCCTGTCAATCTTAATTCCACCAATTGCTCCACAATCACCCTCACCTATCATCTGAGGCAGGTACAATAGGCCAGAAGTGGCCGCAGTACAAGGGACTTAATCCCACCCCACTAGCAATACAAGAAAATAGTAGTACCTCATAATCATTCTGTTAACATGCCTGGGACAGAGTCATTTGCCCACCTTAATTGAGCTAACCCATCAAATGCACCTGTGAAAGTAGAACCAGCTTAAATCTTTATAGGTATTCCTTACCTTGGAATCCTGTTGGCGCCCAGGCAAACCCAATCATTAATTTCTGGGTTCTGCCTCAAGAACTGCAGTAGTTAATCCCAAAATCAGAAATTACCGATAAGCACAACAAATCCTGCATACTACAATCTTATATTGAGAGGCACTTAGCAAAAATGATTATCAGCTGTTAACAGTTTCAAAGTGTGATCATGTGTCTCTTGGTCTAGCAGTTCTCAAACTTTATTATGCTACCCCACAAATCTCTCCATGTATCCAGACTTCTGGTCTTTATGCTTGTATTTTGAAAGTTAACTTTCCTTTTGAAAGGAAAGGTTGCAAGTGTAACTGTTTCTCAGCTGTGTAATTGGACAATGAAATAGAGCAGGACATCACACAAGATCATAATTGGCAAACAGAATCAGCCATTATGCATCATTTAGCAAACAATTTTTCCATGGTAAAATGGTAGAAAGATAATGCTATTTCTGTAACAGCCCAAGAAGTTGCATAGGGTTGTGTGACATCTAGGCTTCCACATTTTCTGGACAACCGGCTCACAGATGGTTGTGAGGTTCTATTACAACATTTCTGTTAGGGGCAGAGTCAACTCCAGGGCCATAGTGTGGCTCAAAGGATTATGTAAATTGAAAAATATCCAATAATCTTATCAGGAATCAAACCTGGCACCTTCAGGCTTGTAGCGTAGTGCCTCAACCAACTACACTACCGCATGCCCCAAAACGTTCACATACCTCCAAGAATTCACAGAAAACAGTTTGGAAACTGCTCAACTAAAAATTGTGCGGTATGGCCATACAATTTAGAGACCATGTTGATCAAGCAAGGTAGCAAGGTTTGTGATATGGCTAGTATACATTCATAGAATCCAAAACCGATGTAGGGATGAGGTTATGTTGCCAACATTTTTAATTTCCAGTTTACCAGTCTTCTTTTTAAGAAGTAATGGGGCATTAATTTTTCATACTGTACTGTGTATGTTCCCCAGGCCAGCTTACTTCCAGGGCATATTTTTACCTGTTCTGAATTTGTAGATGTTGTTATGGCCAAACTGCTGATAATCACTGCTTATAAGAATGATAATTTGGTGGATTAAGGTGATTGTGTAGGTAAATATAAGTAGTCATCATATTGTAAAGGTTTTCCAGTATTATTAAATAGACATTTCATATTCATAAGCTCAGTGGTGAAATGTAGTTTGTTGGAACCGGCAACCATCATGATGATTGAGGAAGTGGAGGAATACTATTAAGAGGGATCTTAGGAATCTGTAAATTGTGAAGCTAGGAGGTGGATTGAACTTACTATAGATCATGTTCATTGGTAGAATTTGGTATTAACCGTTGCTATCATTGGGCTCTGCAGCCAGTGAATTGGTGAATTCCAAAACTCTGTTTAGGTGTTGTGATGCTATGAATATTACATTATCCTAAAAAGAATTGCAGTGTCATTAGTTACATATTAGTGGTTTGCTAAAGAATCCATCAAATTTTGTAGTACTTATACATTCATCTTTTGCAGGTCTCAAGAGTCCTATGCAACAGTATACTGATGAATTCTGAGAGCTGGTTTCACTGTTGTAACATGAAATGTGTGAGGATAGATTTTAAAATGTGAATGAACTTGTGACAAAAGTTTAAAAGGACCACTGGTCACTTGTACGATCTGAAGTGCAGTGTAGACATGCCAAAATCATTTTGGAGTGAGAGATAAATCTCAATGTTCTTTGTCAGTGCCTTGGCCGCTGTGTTGGTGGAAGTCAGAGGCAATGCCGGTAGATTGGATTGGTCCATTTTGGGCAACATGGACACAAACACAACATTTATACCAATGATACCATCACCATCACCATCATCATCATCTTCTGCCACAATGGGAGTTGCTGATGACACAGATGTCACAAAATTACATGAGGGATCTGAAGCTTGGCCTAATGCGCCACACAATGTGTCATTTCTTCCAGCATTATTTGTTTCATACTGTACAGAGTGGAAACCAGTCAATCATGTTTACTTTCAACTGGCGAACACTTTCTTCTTCCTCTCCTACCTTGCCCCAAATGGCATGTATGGAATTTTGTACCTGAGGTGCACACTTCTTGTGGGATGTGCATTTTTTGCCCTGTGGGGATGGGCAGTGTTATGCTGCTTCGATGCCTTCCTGTGGAATGCTACTTTTGTGGGTATCAATTTCATCCATGTGTGTATTCTTCTCTACTACCTACGGCCTGTTAAGTTCACGAAAGAAGTTGAGGAGGTGAGTACTGGCCTTAGTTTTTGCTTACACATTCTATTAAGTGATTTATTTGGAAGTTTCATTGCCAGTCCAGAAGATGCTGGTTATATGCAGATTACCAGACTTTGCACATTGTTGGACATCGTTCATCATTTGACAGTATTTCAGGTGTTTAGTCTAATTCCAGCTTCAGTTGATTTGTTACTGTTAAAATATCAGGGTACCTTTAGCAGCAGGATAAAATCCTGAACTTGTAAACCAGTAGATCACTATTTAAACCTGATTTTGCTACTAACAAAAGAAATCGTCATTAACATAAGGGTTTCGTTGTCAATAATATACCAGTTGTCAGTTTAATGATGACCTAGTAACTCTGTCACTAACTATCACTAATTTTCACCTGTTGACAAATCACTACACACTGTGTGTTCTCAGTTTGCTTTCACTAGTCATTTTCTGGTAACAGATGTTAACAGTGAAGATTCTCCAACTTCTGTGCTCACTTTGTTTCTGTCCAGTTAATATCCTGCAACTGAACTCTTGTCAGCTGTCATTTCAACTATAGCACCATCTGTTTTGAGCCTCTCTTGCAGCGGTCAACTCAACAGTGAACCCTCACCTAACTCAGCTGACCTGGGGGTCCTCATTATATAACCTCGGGGCGGACCCAACAGAAACACAACCTCCAACAGTTCTCCTATTTTTATGGGCGGTTGCCTAGTGATAGCCCAGATATTGTTTCCATGGGAACGTGTTTACCAAGCCGTTCCTCAGATACAGCCAATTGTTTTTTGCTTATTGCATAGCAACGGTTGTACTCATTTGTTTCGAGATCTTTGCCCAGCAACACATCGGTATGGTGTAAAGAATATACTGTTGTCACACTCTGCAGAATCATTTGCTTGGTACCTTTATACAGGGATATTTTTAAAGCCACTGACCGAGTTCATGGCACTTCACCGTGACTTGTGCATTGCTGGCCGTGAAGCGCATGCAAATTTTCCTGTTGAATCAGCATGATTGACGGCCGATAACGTTTGGAATGAATGAAAATAATTAGCTTGTAGATCTCTACACAGCATTATGTTACACGATGGTCATTGCAGTTCAAGCATTGGAGTTTATGATTTTTCAGCATTAAGTAGTAGTTATCAGTGCCATGAACAAAATATTCCCTGTTAACAGTCAGCAGTGTGGCTTGACATGGTTTGCTATACTTTAGAGCAACTTGTATATTTTTATGACACCTACTTGAAATACGGATCTGCTGGAAAGTGTCTGGAAAAAATTCAGTATGATATTTTGCAATGAAAGGGTTCCCAGCAGACAGACAATTCATAATTTTGTGAATAAACTTAGAAAAACGGGACTCTTAATAGACAAGAAAACAAAACATGAGCATCGAGTGCTTACTGAAGAGAAGTAGGGGCCAGACTTGACTATTCACCTAGAAAATCACTGAAATGTCTAGCTCAAGAGATTGGAGTGTCAAAGTGTAGTGCAAGAACGGCAAGACATTTGCTGAAGTTTAGACCCTATGAAACAAGAGTAATCCACGCATTGTAGCCAAGCGTTTCATCTAGAAGGGTTCGTTTTTGCAGTTGGTTTCTGCAGTCTGTTGTCAAAGGTGAGATCAATCTGCAATTGACATTCTTTTCTGATGAATCATAGTTTCACTTATAGGGATACATAAATATGCAAAATAATCGCTAATGGAGTTCACAGAATCGACATCTAACTCACGAAGCCCCACTCAGTTCAGCGAAAGTTGGTGTTTGGTGTGCATTCAGTACAAGAAGGATTGTTAGACCTGTGTTTTCTTAACGAAACATTTAATTGTGAAAGATATGTAAAGGTCATTCTCTGGCATTTCTTTCCATAGTTAACAGAAGAAAAAAGACAGCAAGACTCAGCTACTGTCCACACTGCACGTTTGTGCAGGCTTTGTTAGATGTCTTCGGGAACAGAATTAGCAGCAATGGTATTTGGCCAGCTCATTCACTCAATCCTAATCCTTGTGAGTTTCTCTTCTGGGGTTGTTTGAAGGATAGAGTTCACAGCAGTAACCCCCGAAAGAAAGAACCAAGAGAAAATTTTCATAGAGAAATTGCAAATATTCCTGCAGAACATCTTCAAAAGTTAAATCAGAACCTCTTCTGTCTTTGCAAGGAATGTCTATGTGTTGCAGGAAGGAATTTTCAACTCCTCCTGTGATCTGTGGACAAAAGTAAGAACTTTGCTTCATTCCAAATATTATCGGCATGCTAAGTCATCGGAAAAATTCACGTGTGCTTCGCAGCTGGCTTAGCATCAGTCGCATTGAAGCGCAGAGCAATAAACACGTTAAGTTTATTAAAAAATACCCATAGAATAACATGAGGAGAGAGACACTTTTGTCTAAGATAAACATAAATGTAATGAAGTGCAGTATTGTGCATGGATATGCCATCTTTTAATATGCAATTTCCATGCAAAAGAAAACTAGCCTCAAAGTACCATACAGAATTATTGCATACATTCGTATACATGCCTATTCAGTTCAGTAGCCAAGAAATACTTAATAACATAGCTTCATAGAAGTAATATGATGGTGATTGAGACATAGAACAGGAACATTGTTGGGGGATAGATAATTAATTGCCACCATTACTGGTTAAATTAATAACTCGTGGTTACTGTGCATCTTTAAATGAAGGCATGGAGAATAGAGAATATATTATTGTACAGTGCTATACTGCGATAATTAAAAGAATTATATGAGCAGTCCCAGCTGTTAGATATAGTTGCATTCCAGGAGAGAGTTCCTAAAGTGAAATTTTGTAGCAATTCATTATGTTTCCCATAATAAGGGCAATATTATAATTTATTATATTATATGTACATGTATATTAATGACCAGAAAATGATAAAAAAGTAAAAATCACCAATTTCATTGGTTGGAACTAAACATATAGACACTGCAATCATATAGCCTGGACCTGAATCTGCCATATGATGGACACAGGGCGCAGAGTTTGAGCATGCACACCATAAGAATATTCCAAATTTCAGCAGTAAGTTTATCACATTATACGTCTGTATAATAATATACATATAATGTAATATAATATCTACCTCTTTAGATAAGAAAGAAGAAGCTTACTTTACTACCTCAAGAATCCTAAATTTTTCCTTGGGTACTGTTGCCACAGTTGATACAGATAAATTAAACTTCTTATAGATAACACAACTTTGTATGTCAGTATCATGAAGTTTCATTATTTGAGCCTTCATTTCCAATTTCATAGATTTTGTACAGCGTCTTTTGTTGGTGGGATCATAATTTGTGAAATTTCTCCCGTTATCAGTCATAATTGATAGGGTATAAGTCACAAGCTTATTAAGGAAGCCGCAGAATCTTATTCAAGATGCACCAGATGCATAAGGCCTGGGAAATGTCTGGTGTGTTACAAAGCTGCAAAATCTTATATACTCGTAAATTTCCCATCAGATGCGTAAGGTAAACTGTCTAGGCATCATTGCGTTCATTTGTTTCTGTTTAAATTTGCACATTTTTTTTTGGAAGGCATATTGGATGAGTAGGTTCTTGTTTGAATGATGAACCAGGCCAAGGGTGTGCATAACATTAAAGAATATTATGTGAGAGAAATTTCATAGTGCAAATTGTCGTAAAGGGATGATCATAAATAAAAGCATGACCTATCCCCACTCCAGATATTGTCTCAAAACAGATAAGAATTTTATACTCCCCTGAAGGGTAACAAATTTAGTAACATATTGTAGTATGTAGACCTGTTGCTGGGCAACGACCACGAAATAAGAAAATATACAAGATCAGTTGCTGAATAACAGCTCCACAAACAAACATGTTCCCATAGTAATGATTGAACTATAACAATGAGGAACGGTTTCTTCTATGTGGTCCGTGCCAAGGAGTTATAAAGGGAACAAGTTTAGAGTTTAGTCTCTCTCTGAGCCCATGTGGAGGCGGGGTCGAATACCTCCACCGTGACCCTGCGAGTCGTAAGAGGTGATGAAAAGGGAAGTTTCAAATCTGAGACAGTAAAATATGGTTGTGAGTCCGAAGGGACTTGGACCCGATAAAGACTGTGCTGACAAGGCCAGCAACATATACCAAATATAGACCCATCCTCCCGTTAGTGAGGGCGACCCACAAAAACAAGACCGTAACTGTCAAACAGTAATAACATAGATTTACTGACTGACTGGCTGAATGACTGTCAGTTGCAATGTTACTTTCACTTTGAGTTTAGATAGTAGAAATAGGGAAAAATCTGCTGTACTGAGCCTGGACTGACAGGCCCTGTATATATTGTATATAGATTTTAACTCGTTTAACATGTAACATGGGGGCACGTGGTAGCGTAGTTGCACTACGCTACTATGCTACAAGTCAGAAGGTATGGGGTTTAAGTCCCGGTGAGATAATTGGATTTTTTTCCATTGACCTGATCCTTCCGGCCACACTATGGCCTCTAACAGAAATGAGTACCAGGAATGTTGTTGGAATGTTCTTGGGTGTAAAGGGCGGCCGGTGCATAGGGCTGACAACCTTGCCGCAATCTATGAACCGATTGTCTGGAAAATGTGTTAACCGCAATATTTCACAACCCTATGGGCCTCCACCGCCTATTACAAGGATACTTTTACTTACTTTTTTTTTATTGCTAGTGGGGTGGAACTAAGTCCCTTGTACTGTGACCACTTCTGGCCTATTGTACCAGCCCCAGATGATAGGTGAGGGTGATTGTGGAGCAGTTGGTGGAATGAATATTGGCAGGGGAAACTGAAGTACTTGGATAAAACCTGCCCCAGTGCCACTTTGTCCACCACAAATCCCACTTCACCTGACCCGAGATCGAACCCGGACTTCCATGGTGGGAAGCCAGCGACCAACGGCTTGAACTATGGCGTGGTACTTTTTTTTTTTTACTTAACATGTGATGTGTAAACATCTATTACATAATGACAAATGACTTACTACTGCAGACATTGACTCT